TATATATATATATATATATATATATATATATATATATATATATATATATATATATATATATATATATATATATATATATATATATATATATCGACCATCAACACGTCCAACTAAAAAACCAACGAATATAAAAGTCGCATGTACAAGAGACTACGACATAACACAATGTCAGTCGTCGAACAACTCGACATCATCTGCGTCCCATAGAGAATCGCACGATCGATCGGACACGGCGGTTGCCGGTCCAGGCAACCGATAGCGGTCGCCAATAATGAAAACATCGTCTTCCCCCACAACGTCGGGATCCACACCTGAATCAACGTCATCCTCGTCACGGGCAATGGTCTCCTCGCCTCTGCAAAAAAGATCGCGAGGCAGAGGAGGTGTCGAGGACCCGACCTCGCCCGACACATCACAATCGCCGGACTTGAGAAGGCGTCGAGCCCAATCTGAAACGCATTTTGAACCGAAGATGAATGTGGACAGCCGATCCATCCACGAATCGGTAGGTGGCCGGTTGTGACGGTAGTGGCTCGGCCTTGGACGAATCGAAGTCCTTGAAGGCCTGCGGACACGATACTCCAAGGGATCCTGCCATGCATGAGTGTTCCATCGAATGACTGCAATCGCCAAATGCGGCTCATACGACTTCTTGAAGTGCAAGGCCTTCTTCGCGTAAATGATGATTGTGCCCTGGAAGGTCTCAACCGTCGACATGTGACGGAACTCCGTGTAGTATGAACAAACGGTTGTGCTGCAATGCCTGCCCAACGTCTGGCGAATGAAGTCATACACGGGGTCGTCGTGCGTGTAAAGAGGAAGCCGAGATGGGCCACCCGCTTTTGAGCATAGAAGCACTCTGTCTGCAACGCACCTGGAGTGGTCCCCTGCCCGATGGTCGGTGATCATCATGATATCATTGTGCAGAGTGACAAAGTCGCCGCCCTCATCTCTGCAAAGCTGGGAAGCACAAAGAAACCAATGCCCCACCTCATGCATATGGAGCTCGGTCACGCCATCTGGATCCACGAGCAGGGATTGCTTGTTTTTCATCGTGCCGTACAGGAACATTTTGCTTATCACAACAGCGACGTAGTCGCTATTCTTCAATCGTTCTTCTTTTGCCGTCAAACACCCAGGTCCAAAATGGTCCGTCAAGGCATCCGACAACTCCTTCTTCGTGAAATGCATAAACTGAGATTCCGAGACGCACTAATGAGGGTCGTTCAATTTCTTTGGCACCTTCAGTGTCACGACTTTTCTCAGTGCCTTGCGAATGTTTTTCACCTTATGATGGCAATCCTTCTGCCATTCAATACCCAGCCACTCCAACTGCGGACCCAATGCAGCACAATCGTCGGAGACAACACACCGGATACGCAACCCCCTCGACATCAAGCCTCTCAACAAGCGCACAATAGCAGGAACCTCAAGTTGGTTCGATGCCTTTCCCTCCTTCTTTGGGCGAAGAGTATGAACACCCACCACAAGACGAGTATCACACTCAATTGCGGTAACAATGCAATGTTGCGCAGACCTGGCGGAGTCGTAGCGACCGTCAACCATCAAAGTGACGGGTCTCCCTGATCGCATAACCGTGTCAATGACCAAGTCGCAATACCGCACGCCCTGCCTGACAACCTTTGCATTCCAACCCTCACTCACATTCGGCTCACCTCGCATGCAACTGTAATAAGTGGGCTTGTGCACAGGCGCCACCCCAAGCGCGATGCAGAAGTCATTCAGGACGGTATATGTCATACCCGCATTGACGGTCGCATGGAACAACTTCTGCTGGAGTCTGCAAGAGTACACAGCTCTCGCAACCAGTGCACTTTGCCATGTCCAACGACAGGACTTCTTACATGTGAGCGAAATGCGACATATCTGCCCAGGATAACCGACAGAGGACACATTCACACGACAACCGGCCCCGTGGCGCGGGCAACTCAAATCGAACAACCCGAGCAACTGCAGCAGCTTCATCGGCTCCAGGAACACGACATCAGGCGCTTTCGAGCCTTCCCAGTGCCCCATCGATTCCAACACATGTGCAGATCGATCATGGCAAGGTCCGCTCTGCAGAGCACCATCCTTCGAATCATCCCAGCACAAAGGCCGAACACGATCGAAATGCGAACGCGACCTGCCACGGCTGAGTGGCCGCCCGCGCGATCTGCGGCCACGTTGTGACCCGTGACCAGAGCGTGGAAGTGAATCATCCGACCCACAAAATGACCCGCCATCGCCTCCACCGCTCGCTGCGCCATCACGCTCGCCATCATCCTCTGCGTCCGCTGTCGAATCATCCCCTCCTGCTCCGAGACGAAACAACTCAGCACGACTGCCGGTCGGTTCTGTTCTCTCGATCCTCGACGCCACACCGTCCCCAAACTCTAAGCGGATGGATGGCAATGATCAATGCAACAGTCGGTCGACGACATCGCTCATGACCCCAGACTTTTCGCTCACTTCTTTCATCGCAGATTGTAAAAGGCGCAGTCTCTCCTTGCAAGCGGAAGTGAGGGACAAACGAGAGTACTTCGTGGATCCAGTTGACTGCGAACCAAATTGCCGTAAGGACCCGCCTGACTGCTCAGAAGGGCCCGCACCAAGACTTTTAGTGGCAGGATCGCAACGTCCGGGCCCGTCTCCGCTACCACACACAATGTCTTCCCCGTCGAACCGGGAGACGAGAGAGCGACGGCCGGAACTACGGTCATGTGTGTCTCTGGCCGAGGCACGACGTGCGTCATCCAATACACCCCCCTGCCCATGACGTGATGCGGCGAACGAATGTGGGACCCGCGGTTCTACACTCCGATGACCTCCGTCACGCAGTGTGGACCCTCCACTTCCAAACACCACCGGTGATAATTGAGAACACCCCTCGAGGGGGATGGAGTCCAACCCGTCGCGTCCAACGACAAGTGGAGGAGGAGGAAATGGTTGCGCTGCACACGACAAAAACTGCAAACGGCGAGGTTGCAATAGCGGTGACAGCATAGGAAAACACAACGCATCGAAATCTGACGAAGGGTGCACCGGAGTGTATGCCCGGCGCGTAGGAGACGGCAACAAGGGCTGCAACGGAGAACGCACAACTTCAACGCCGGAAGCGAAGACGTCCGCAGGCGAAAAACACTGAACACGAGGCATCTTTGTTGATCGCATGTCATTTGGGCTGCCATAAGGGGATATTCCCAGCAAACCACATTGTCCGGCATGCGGTGATACCGGCGTGGCGTTGCCATGCGCGAGCCAATTGGGTGGCCGTTCCGCTGACCTGCCGTCATCAGGCGTGCAACTGCTAGGTGCGTCACCCATCACAGATGGCCGGCCGTCTCCCGCGCCGTACGTGTACTGCGCGCTGGACGGTGCAATGTCGGCAACACAATCTCGAAACGGATGAACTGCCAAATCGCAAAAGAACAACGTTCAGTCCTGTGCTCAGCAAATAGTCATCGGCTGGCAGAAATGGTGAATTGCATAGTCACCGCTGCACTGGAAAACAGACCAATTTAGAGACAGACTCACCAACTTCATGACAGTTTGACCTTAGGGCAGACCGCCTGACTCAGACCCAATGCAGCGACTAAGTGACCAACTTGTTGACATGTCAGAAACCCCGCACGACAAACCAGAGTCATTGGATTGATTGAATGATTGACTTGTTTTGTTTATATATATATATATATTTATAAAGAGAGAGAGAGAGAGAGATCACAATTCAATCAATCAATCAATCAATCAATCAATCAACCAACCAATGAATCAATCAATGTATTGATTGGATTGATTGATTGATTGATTGATTGATTGATTAATTGATTGATTGATTGATTGATTGACTGATTGACTGATTGAATGATTGATTGATTGATTGATTGATTGATTGATTGATGAAATGTTTGTAGTTTTTCATATTGCACACACAAAGAGAGAGAGAGAGAGAGAGAGAGAGAGAGAGAGAGAGAGAGAGAGAGAGAGAGAGAGAGAGAGAGAGAG